GAAGATCCTGATGCTTTGCGCCGGGGTAACGGATTGAGCGATGCCCTCAACGAAGCATTAGAGCTGGCCCGGTACGACATGGCCGAAGAGCTCTTCAAGCGTGGTGCTAGGTGCACTGATTGCACTATAGGGTATGTTCTGGATGGGGCACGTCGGGAAAATGAATGGAACACGAAAGCCATCGATGTGGCGCTGGCGTACGGTTGGAATATCAACGAGCCCTATGAGCATGTTGGCAGCGCGCTTGTGTAAGCCTTCGCTACCCTTCTGGAGACCATTCGACTCGCAGAAATAACTGACAGGTAAACAGATCCATCGTCAGTAGCGCGGAGACAGGCCCAGGATATCCCGATGGCGATACAGCTTGCCTAAAGATTGCTGCGCATCTATTGTCAAAAGGCGCCCATGTGGACGAGAGCACCCGGACGAACGAGAACCCGCTCGAAATAGCCTGTGCGAAAGATGACAGGCATATGGCAGCGCTATTGTTGGCACATGACGCATCGCTGGAAGAGGCGCCCAAGGCACTCCTCAATGCTGCCCGTGAAGGCAGCATTGACATTATGCAGCAGCTGCTGGATCGAGGCGCCGATGTCAATGCACACCCGTACGGAAGACTCGAGATAATCCCTTGCCAACTAGAGGACGAAGGTTGGGGCTCTGCGCTACATTGTGCCGTTAAAAACCACCATACCGAGGCAGTCTCATTTCTCTTAGAGAAAGGCGCGGCCAAGGAGTACAGGAACATGGTGGGGTTGAAGGCTTTGGATCTTGCTCGCAAATTGGGACATGAGGATATTGTGCGGTTGTTAGAGTAGAGTGATGACCGCGTATGCAATCATCTACCATGAACAGCAGCATTTCTTCTTTGGAAATTTTGTTAATGAACCCGTATGAAAAGTGCTGGATCCTGGGCTGTTATCGCAAGAAGGTGGAACTTTCGCCCGACACGAAGACCGATCGATGCACCGGATGCCGTGACATTGACGCGGATCTGTCCAACGTTGCATACCAACACAATATCAGCGATAACTATAAGGGTGCAAGTTTTAACAAAAAAAGAAGTATTGATTTACACATGAGCCTGCGAACTCGTTAACAGATGGTTTGAGGCTCAAAGAGATGGACTTGACAAATTGGTGGGTTGAGATCACACCGATCACTCATACACTGATCGAACCCGCCCTCAGGAGCATCTCTGAGTACCTGAGTGGAACTTAGACACAAAACATTTAGCAACCATCTATATCGACAATAGGCTTGATTCTAGCAGTACAAACACCGAAAAAGATGCATCATTCGACGAATGTAAGACAACGCGAGAAGCCGACGATAACGGCGAGGGTTTTTAGGTCGTCGAAGAAAGCTTTGTTACATGTTCGTCAATGCCGTTGCACTTGAAGCAGCGATGGTGAGGACGCGTAGGAAACAAGGGAGAAGAACGACGACGTCGATGGAGCTGCGTGGCTATATGGTGTCTAAGTGCTTGGTAGTGTCACCACGTTGAGGCGATCGCGGCGATTCTATGAAGCGATCAATGCGATGATAGTCGCCCAATCCCGAGCACACTTCTCCAATCACAACTTCACTTCCTCCCACTCTCCTCCCTGCGGAAAACCCAAGTGGAATCTCCCACATTTCGCAAAACTAAACACTGCTTCTTCTGCCATGGTGAAATCTACGACTTTCCCTCCAAATTCCTCATTTGCGTCCAGGAAATGTGCATGGATCCGTGGGCCGCTGATAGCCTTCATCCAGGCTGGCACCACGAAGCCGAACACCGTACCGTCGATTGCATTTCTGCTGGGCCCATCTTCGAATTCTATCGAATCAAAACGACCAGCGATCTTAAAGGGCATAAGAGTATTCACGCCCTTCGCTGGACCCACATCATCTGATGAAACGAGCTCATCAAGGGCTTCCAGCGACATCGACCCGATCTTCAGACGAAATGTTGGCTGGTATACTGTGACCAATGCGAAAGGAAGGCGTGCATTCATGGGTGCTGACTTTGCTTTACCATCCTTGGTAAGTGCGTACGCTTGTCGGTCTTTCAAAATCATGAGACTGCCATCTTCGTAAACACCAATGCCATCTGTGCCGTGGGAAGTAAGGTCAGCGGTTCGCGGTTGGCCTTGATTGAATCCGGCGTTGAGAGCTGCGTAGGTGGAGAATTGGAATATATCGTTTGGTATTGAGCCAACCATGATGGAAAGTACTGTAAAATTCTGTGATTCGGGTGATGGTATCTGGTGTTTGATAACTAGATATGTTGGAGTTCGAGGTTGGGTAGGTAAGGGTCCGGGCTTAGCGGAGAGCCGATCTCCGACTCGGCTACCATATCAGCCCTGCGGTGTGTGGGCGTCATCCCTAGGCGTTCTCTTATACATGCTTATTCTGTTGTACAGATGGAGGTTCTAGATGAACTCATTGATGTGCTTTGCGAAGCAGTACTCGGCAGATCTTGAGCCTTCAGTGTTTCTACTCCATGTCGCCTTCTCGACTCAGACCATCGAAATTCCGCGTGATACATCTTTCTCTTTGCGGCTTTTACGTCTTTAAGTTCTGATTTCCAACGTGATCGGCCGTAATAAGTACATGGAAGCGTCGAAATCGTGAATATCAGAGTAGGAAAATGCGATATGTACCATACGACTGTATCTCTTCCTAAATGTCGGTTGATAATGTGTTGGTCATGTCTTCACAGACTAAGTCGGTACTTTATTACAAGGAATAAACTAGCCTCGACATCTGAATTTAGTACGATCTTTTAGAAATGTTCTTGGAAACACCTTCCTGCAAGGTTGAGTGTGAAGGGAAGCAAGCCAATAACACGATCGCTTATGTAAGTGATTTAGCGCGAACCGTCGGAAGCTCAACTTCACCATCCAAACGGCATCTTTCCCAAGCAATTGCGCAGCCCGTCTGCTCCAATACCTCGCCAGATATGCTCCCAACAGCCCTTCGCGCCCTGCGCTCTCGCAGCGCAGCGGCTTCCTCCCGCTCCTTCGTCCGCTACACCTCCACCGCGACGACCAGCAACCAGGTCCCCGCTAACGACCCTGTCAAGCGCGATGCGAAGCCGAACGTTTCCGAGACCAATGCGATGCCTACATCTTCCGAGGGTTCCTTCGACAAGGTCTTGCAGGAGTCTCCAGAGACAGCCGAGAAGTTGAGGGTTGAACAGGCGCCGAACTACAAGGGCATTTGGTCGCGGAGCCAAAACCCGAGGGAGGTTGCGATGAGTGGGCCAAGATTTGAGCAGAGCATTATGGAGGACCAGGTATGTCGAAATCTCCTGGAGCGGACATTATGGAAGAAACGGAAACAACCGTGGAAGAAAGGGTTGGTTTATGCAGGGGAGATTCACATGCTGACATAGAATCGTACAGCCTCGCCCATACGCCGCGATCGAGCTCATCCACAAGCAGCCCGTTCGCTGGACGCACGACCGTACTGTATCCTGTGACGGAGGCGGTGGCCCTCTCGGACACCCAAGGATCTTCATCAACGTAGATAAGCCCCAGATCTGCTGGTGCACATACTGTGGACTTCCATTCGTAAGTCCCCGTTTGGATTGTGTCTATTTCAGCCTTCCGATACTGGAGCTGGTTAAGGCAAGAGAATTACCGCTAATTACCTCTATAGGCACACGAGAAACACCGACCGCTCCTCGAAGCCACCCCTGAACACGAGCTATCATACCCCCTTGGACCCAAAGGCGATGCGGCGGAAGTCAACGGGACGCAGAAGGTTACGGATGAGCCGCTTGCACAGCGATAGAGCGAGGCAGTCAGAAGAGAGATCAGGGCTGGTGTATATATGCATTGCAATTGAGACTTTGACAAACTGTCGTCTTCTGTCGTGTTGAGGTCGCGGTATTCGCCTGTCTTCTGAACGATGCAATGTATGCGCATTGAACTCGAAAAAGTTCTGGGATTGAGCTCCGCTTTGGTATCATCATTCGAGAGCAGAGTGTATTCCCTGAATACATGGCTTTCGCGAATCAAGTTGAGCCATCTCTTACCGGACAGCGTCGAGGGGTCATTCTATATGGATGTGAGACAGCCTTCATGTTCCACCTCATGGTACTGAAAGATATACATTACAAGTCCACCAATATTGACATGCTCTGAGCTTAAATCCCTAAGTCACTGCCAGTGCATACGGGAATACAACCGACTCTAACGGCGATGTCAAAGAGCAGAAAGGCCTTCATTTGAGCTGGATGGTTTATGAGATCACCATCTGAATTGAGAATAAAGTCTCGCTCCACAAACGTCGCTCCACAAACTTCAGGGCTATGTGAGACATCACCATGCGTCAAACCTCTGCGTCAATTGAATCTCGGCACTCCAAGTGAGGGTATCGCACTCGCAGTCTCTCTCCTGCGGTCAGAATGGTGCTTTGCACGTTCATCCTAGTACACATATCTACTACTGATTCAGTAATTTTGAAGTCTCACGAAAAACGCGTAGGAAGCGCGTCTTGTAGGGCCTGAAGGTCATTTAAAGTCGTTTCTGCTGGGTTAAAAGCGGAAAGAGAAGAAAACGAGGCTGTGCCCGGCGGAAGGACCTCACCACGTGTTGTTCAGCATTGGCTCAGCGTAGCACCCCATCTTTAGTGCGTCAAGGACCATACACCCAGGGCGTATGTGAGTATGTGCGTATGTTGAATGTGACCGTTGAAAACGGACATGCTCTTTACATTCAAGACGACCTAACCCCACCGCGACACTCCTCTGACGTCACCCCACCCCACATAACGCGACTCAACTCTCCGAACTTTAGCTCAACGCAATGCCGCAACAACACTCTACAAGCTCACATCTAACGACCTTCTTGATCGTCTTCATCTTCGTAATCGCGCTATTCCCAGGACTCTTTGTCGGTATATTCTGGGCGCCCTACAACAGCCTCGCAAACTACCTCGTGCCAACACCCCAACCGCGCGCAAGCGTGCTGTGCAAGAGTCCAAACGTCTGCACCTCCGTACCAATCATGTCTTGGTATGTCCTTGTGTTTTGTACCTATACAAAGTGTCTGTTAGTTGTTAACAGTTCCTAGGGCACAGAAATCCCTCACCCTCCCCAGCCGGTCGCGCGGGTCCTACCTCATCACCGACCACATCCTCAAAGAAGTACCCGAGATCAAGAGCTACAAGACTGGCCTACTGAACCTCTTCATTCAACACACATCGTGCGCGCTGTCATTGAACGAGAACTGGGATCAAGATGTTCGCGCGGACATGAGCACAGCGCTGGATCGCATTGTGCCGGAAGACAAGAAGGGTCAGGGACTGTACCGCCATGATGCAGAAGGCAGCGATGACATGCCCGCGCATGTCAAGTCTGCGTTGATTGGCGCGAGCGTCACGATCCCGATCACAAATGGAAAGCTGAACACGGGCACATGGCAAGGCATATGGTACCTCGAATTCAGAGATTCGAAGCACACAAGGAAGGTGGTTGCCACGATTCAGGGAGAGAAGATGTGAAGTGCAGGATCTTAAGATGGAGCTGTTCGCGAGCGACGTTGAGTCTGTGTTGGACTCGGCGAGTCTTGCATGAGGAACTTGAAACGTCAAGGATATAATTACGAAACAATACCATAGGAGTGGGAAGTACGAGAGCGGAATCCGAATGTTTGAGTACTATGTTATGTTACTATGGTCTATCGTGCAGTCGCAATTCCGCCCTTGCTTTTCTGACTCTCCCAAGAAACACCCCTAATAACGCCTGTCCTTCATAACCCCAACGCCAATATCATGATATGCTGCTTTCATACCTAGGCAGAAGTATCCTCCACTTTATAAATGAACGAAATCCTGAAAACCGTAGATCCCGTCACCCCATTGTCTCATTGCCGTTGATGCCTAACGTGATGTGGACCAGTCCTTCTTGTCCGTATCATCAACCGCCTCTTGTCTCTGCTGAGCGCGTCGCTGACTGTGGAAGAACGCTCCAATCACGCGCGGTGGAAGACGAGGAAGCCGACATCAGCATCCATCATCCATCGGCCAGGATGACACTCGTTCTCAATCTGATAGTAGGACCTGAGATGCCACTCGCCGTTGAGCTCGCGACACCAGAAAGGATCGTCGTCGCGTGCATCTGCTGGCCTAATCTTGCGCGGGTCGTACGAACCACGCTCAGTCGCGATCCTCCGATTCTCCATCTGGATGTCTTCGCGCGTGGGACCTTGCTGTGTGTGGCCGTGAACGTATGCTGGCCTTGTCTCTCTGACCGTCCTTGGGCCCGAGAAGCCTTGCGGTCCTTGTGGTTGACTGTTTGTCACATGATATGTTGTGGTAGTTGTACTTGGGCCAGGTGGATAGACGTGCGCCGAGTAGCCGTAACTAGGTACGGTGTTGTAGTAGGTCCTCTGGTAGGGGTAATAGAAGTTAGCAAGTGGGTACAGCGAGCCATACAAGTTGTAGTTGTAGTAGCCATAGCCACCGCCATAGGAAGGGTAAGAATAATTGGAGGCATAGTAGTTCTGGGGAAAGTAGTTGGTGGCGTAGGTTTGAGGGTACAAGGGACGGGTGTATACCGCAGGTTGGTAGGCGGCCACCCCGTATCCGACACCCATACCGACGCCAACGCCTCCGAGCCCACCGTAGCCATAGCCGCCGCCTATGACGCCAGTGGGCGCGGCGCCATTCGCGGCTTGGCCGGCATAGGAGAGGAAACCGCGTTGGCCGTAACGAGGGTTGTAGATGTATTGGTGGCGGGGCTTTGGGTACCCCTCCATTGCAAGAGTTGATGGATAAGGGCCGATCGGACGATGAATAGGAGAGTTGTGAAGGAGGCAGGTCGCGATGGCGGTCGGTGGGAATTGCGCGGTTACAGTGGAGCAGGGCGAGAGGAGGAAGAAGGTGAAGGTCGGAGCGAGATACAACAAAATCGAGAGAAAGATGATGTCGCGGCAGTAAAGGCCGAGAGCCACGCGATGTTCAAGAAAACATGCGAGCCAATGATGGCGGGGCAAGGCAGCGGTGTAGTAAAGGGAAGTCGCAAACAAACGCGATGGGGCAACGAAAGACAAGCGAGAACTTACCATTGCGGGATTGACCGGCACAATACTACGAGCACCGACAGGATATCCGGTACCGTATGTATATGCAGGCGGATGGCCGGGATGGACACCTCCAATATACCCTCGAGGAACCATGGCCTGGGAGTGGCCGCCTGGGATTACGCCCCTGGAATAACCTCCAGGAACGACACCACTTGGATATCCGCCGCCGTACTGGGAGTACCGATTCGGATATGTGACTGCTCTGCTCATGTAGCGGCCTCTGGGGGTATGGCTGTAGTAGCGCGAAGGGTAGTACGAGCCGCCGAGGCCATACCTGCGGCGTCTAGACATACCAAAGCCGGGGTAGTAATCCTCTGTGTAGTAGCGCTGGCCATTGCGGACCTCAACTCTGGACTCGTAGCTGTAATCGTCGTCGTTGAAGCACATGTTGCTGGCCGTGGAATTGGGCTGGATGGGGACTGGAGACGAGGGAAAGAAACAGCCGAGAAAGCCGACAATGAGCGAAGCAAACGGTGGCCTATGACGCGAATGAGAAGATGAGGGAGATACAGACTTCACCGTGATATCGATAGTAAGGCGTGACTTGGGAAGTAGCCCATCGAGAAATGCTTACCATGTATCTGCATTCAGCGATAGAATGGTATGTACAGTACAGACCTAGAGTACCTACCAAGGGCCTGTCTGCAACTAGAGCCCACTTGGATGATCAAGTCTTTCCACTTCCACTCTTCGGTACAGCACCCCCTTCGATAGCACCAGTCCCCGCTCCAGGCGCGCCGTTCCCCTTCTTCCCAAACATGGCGCGGAACTTCTTCAAGACCGGGGCGACCGTCCATCGCGCAAAGGTGGGAGTAGCCCATACGCTGAACACGATTCTCGGAATCAACAACATCTTGACAATCGCGTAAGCCGTCGCAAACTCGACGACCAGCCTGACACCGCCTTCGCTGATGTTCCATGCCTGATCCACCTTCCTCAGCCTCTTAGTCTCGCTGCCGATGCCGTCGTCATCGGAATGCGACAACAAACCCTGGCTCTTCATCCACTGCCTCTGTTTGTCATCCTTCTGGATCTCGTCGACCTCACGTTCGGCTTCCAGCGCTTCATCGCTGCGTATCCAGCCCTTGCGCTTGAAGTACCGACCGAAGCGCTCGACGCCTGACGCTATCCAAGCCCCTTCTGCGAACCACGGAGGCAGCCAGTGTGTGTAGTGGAAGTAGCCAGCGAGACCGAACAGAGGGATGACGGCCGTGAGCTCGTGGAGGAGAAGGAACGACGTTATGTGCGTGACCGGGGCATTGCCGAGCGCATTGGTGTACTTGTGCAGAAACTTTGGCAGGCGGCGATTGAAGCGCTCGATGCGCGACTGGGAGGACGCTGGAGAGGCTGGCGGCTCTGTCGCATAGCGGCGCGTGTGTGGGCTGCGAAGAAGTTGTGGTGGGCGCGCAGCCGCCCGCAGGATGGCTCGTCGTAGCATTCTGGCTGTGTCAATCCCTCCTCCTTGTCTCAACCTTCCGGCCCGAGTGGCTCCTTATGCCTTGCGCGGTGTTGTGATTCCATGCGGAGAGCTGCCACTGCGCCTTCGTCGTATGACGAAGTCATCGGAACCCTGACGGGCCGATCCACGTTGGTCGCGTCTACCTAGGTACCGATCACCTATGTAGCAGCACCTTGTCAACTCCCGCATTGACGAGTAGACCTGGTAGTGTTATTCGCGCAATCCGGTCTGGCGACATTCCGAGGTCTCTTTGAATAATGGGTGGCATATACATCCATGCATGTCCGTCAAAGGATGGAGGCCGCGCCCCCTGTGCCACCACGCCCTAAACATCAACCACTAATCAGACGCCCTGTGTGACCAAAGCGCGTAAAACACGTAGTTCCAGAAGTCAAATTATTTTTAGTTACGAACCGCTGCAGAAGCATCTGCAGAACTGTCTCAATCGTACTGAGAGCAAACTCGCTCAACATGTTACTATTCTACGAAGATGAACCCAGCTCAATTGAAAATGTGCAGCCCTCATTCAAGACGATAAACAATGCTTCAACGCCAGCCATCGATCCGCTACCGCAATACGGCTCTCACGCTTTCATTCCATACCCACCTACGACCACACCAAACGATGCCTCGCCAGAAGACCCCAAAGCTGACAGTACATCTCCATCACGGCTAAAAGTACTCAGCCCTTCTTCATGGACATATTGTGGTCCTCTCCTCCACGCAAGCACCACGTCCCTCCCACCGTCATTCCACACCTGGGCAACTCTTACACTGTCTTCTCCCGCGACTTTGATACACCGGCTCCTCCCTCTCCTCTCATGGCTACAGACTTTCTTGTCAGCAGCGAACATCCACAATTACTGGCTGACTATCCGCTGCACCACGACAACCCACGAATACGATACACCACGCTGGCACACAGATGAGAATGTTTTCGCCTACGATGCTGAAGCCACTGGCTTTGGTCTTGCTCAGTCTAGTACGCAAAGGCTATGGAAGCTCTGTACCACACTCCTCGGACCAAGCACTCTCTTCACAAAACGTAATGACATGGCGCTGAGGGTGCTCAGAGAGACTAAGAAGATCGAGAAAGAGAAGTTGGGTGACCATACCTGTACATCGATATGTTGCGTAGGCTGTTCCACGTATAGTGACTCCGTACGACAGTCACTCGTACATTCTCTACAAGATGTGGAGCGTGAGACACCGGCTTCTAGAGAAGTGGCGTTTTTTAGGATAGGCGGAGAAGAAGGGGCGGTGCATTCGGAACCCCGCCACGATACTGATCGTATATTCATCAATGTAATTCCAGGCACAGAAGAAGATTTGCGGAGCTTGATGGCCAAATGGGGTATCGGATTCCCACGTGCGTGGTGTTTCGGTTCGCCTGTCGGCTTCGTGAAGAGTGACGAGGCGGAGACCTTTGCGATGGGAACTTGACCTAATGAGACAATGGGACGAGGTTCAGATGGCTGCTCAGAGATCATAGATCAGACACGTGCAATACGTATGATTGATTTATAGATCGAGGGAAACTACGCTAAGATGGGAACGAAGCTGCACCCCTTCCTTTTTTTCTACATCCTCATAACGCATCTCCATGTTCTTCTTCGATATATTGCTGAACAGAAAGCTCAGCGCGATAGTTTCACTCACAGCTTCTCAGCAACCTCGACGAAGTCTTCCAAGTTTCGCACCGGTCGAACACCGGTGCTGACTTGCATACTCGCCTTCCAAGCATGCACATCCTCGATAAGAACAGGCTGTGAAGCATCCACTACGCTCTTGACATCTGCACTCGTATCCAGGGCCTGAGGCGCGGCCGGCAGACCTGAATCTGCTACACCCAATGCAGCCTTTGCTTCGTCGAGGATCTTGTTAGCGACTTCCTTCTCGATCTTGAGATCGTCAGTGAGGTGGCTGGCAACTGCATCCGAGATAGCCGCATTGGACGA